AGTCTCATTCTTTCAGACTGAGAAGTCAGGAGCAAAATTAAAGTTTAATAACTTGAGGGTTGGTTTTTGGTTTTTTTTTTCTGTTTCGCATTAACATTCCTTACCTTGGGTGTATCTACGCTTTCTCTGCTTTTGCTTTGAACCTGCCCCAAAACTCTGTGTTATCTTTAGCATTTTTCATGAGCCACACTTCAGGAAGTTGGAGAAACTGCTCCCTGGTGGCAGAACCACAGAACTGCAGACTCTTTCCCCCATAATTGCAGTGAAAGTGATCTTTTAGGCTTCTTCAATTATTTCCTTGGAAGAATATCTAGAAAGATAAGGTCAAAGGGCATAGGTAATCACGTGTGGCCAAACTGCCTTCTCACTGAGATGCAGCAACTGAAACTCTTGCCAACAGGGTTGAACAGGATAGAACAGCGTCCCGGTACAGGACTGACCGGGAATGTCACAGAATACAGGAACTGCTGTCCTGCACCCAGAGGTCCTGCTTTCATTTCACATTTCTTGGATTCTTTCTTTTTTTTGGTTTTCTTAAAGATTTTATTTATTTATTTGACAGAGAGAGAGAGAGACAGCAAGAGAGGGAACACAAGCAGGGGGAGTGGGAGAGGGAGAAGCAGGTTTCCCAACGAGCAGGGAGCCCAACGGGTCTCCATCCCAGGACTCTGAGATCACGACCTGAGCCGAAGGCAAAAGCTTAACGACTGAGCCACCCAGGTGCCCCTCTTGGATTCTTTCTGAAAAATCAGAAGAATATATGTTGGCAGCTTACATGTCTGGCTTTCAAAGTGCCTGTTTTCTTCCAACAATCAGACCTTTTTCATGTTTTATGCAGTCCTCAGACTTCTCTATGAACAACCCTGAAAGTTCCATCTTTATTCCCAGATCCTCATTGCTGGCTTCTTAGTGGGGGAAGCACCACCTGACTGGTGTGAGATGTAGATGGAAAGAGTGGTCCCTAAATTAGAAAGTCTAGGGACCAAAATGCGACTTGAGGGCCAGTTCGGTTCCTCAGCTTTACCACTTCTGAGCTGAGAGGGCTTGACAGACTGCAGTTCTCCCGAAGGGGGAGAGAGGCATCCCAACGAAGGGCAATCCTGGTTTTCCTCCTCATCCGTTCCTCAGAGTTGTCATCTCGGCTGTCCTCGGGCGAACCCTGGCCAGAAACTTGGTGTCAGTTCACCATATCCCTCTGTTTCTGCCAGAGTTACTCAGCTTCACGTCTCAGCAAACTTCCCCAAGCGCGCCAGCCTCTGAGAGATTTCCAGACTCATTAAGTTCTCAGGAGAAACCCCAAAGGATTTTGCTAATAATTAAAGGAAGTTCCTGGGAGTTCTAAGCACCATAACTTTATTACCATTCCTGGTGGAGCTGGACAGGTCTGGATTTGGGGGAAGGAAGAAGCAGCAAAGAAGCTGCTATTTAGAATAGCTGTGTTTTGGGCACCTGGGTGGCTCCATCAGTTAAATATCTGCCTTCCGCTCAGGTCATGAGTCCTGCATCAGGCAAGAGCCTGCTTCTCCTTCTGCCGGCTGCTCTCTAGCTCTCTCTCTGACAAATAAGTAAGTAGAATCTTTGGAAGAAAAAAAAAAATAGAATACCTGTGTTTTGCCAAGCAATCTGTCACAGGTTCACATTTGCGACAGTTAGGAAGAGCAATCCCCAGCGTAAAGATTGACTCTTGTTTGAGGCTTGACTTCTGTTTTCATATTGGCCTTGAATTACATAACCGGATTTTCAAGGTGAAAGTCTTGATGATAGATGTATTCTGTGACATTCCCGGTCAGCCAGTCCCCTGAGCACTTATATATCTGCATGTGGAACTCGATGGTTCTCTCCTGACCCACTCCTTCCAACCGTAAAAGGAAGTAAATGAACCCAACTTTTAGGGGGTTCACAGGGATAAGAAAGTAGGTATAAAAGCACCTGAGATTTTTAGGAAGAATGGAGTTCTTGCTATGAGTTATAGTTATGAGTCTTTCCTTTCTGCCTATAAAATGCACAGATCTCTCCCTCTCCTTTTTAAAAACCCTCCGCTGGGGCTCCTGGCTGACTCAGTCAGTGGAGCATGAGACTCTTGATTTCAGGGTCATGAGTTCAAGTGCCATGTTGGCTGTAAAGATTACTTAAAAACAAAACAAAACACTCCCTTAACACTGGACTTCTTGTGAGTTAACCACGTACTCTTCATAGCAGGTTCTTTTTTTTTTTTTTTAAAGATTTTTTATTTATGTACTTGACAGAGACACAGCGAGAGAGGGAACACAAGCAGGGGGAGTGGGAGAGGGAGAAGCAGGTTTCCCGCGGAGCAGGGAGCCCGATGCGGGGCTCGATCCCAGGACCCTGGGATCATGACCTGAGCTGAAGGCAGACGCTTAACGACTGAGCCACCCAGGCGCCCCCATAGCAGGTTCTTAAGAGAGAGAAATCTATTCATGTTCACTTCACCTTTGACTCAGAAATTACATTTCTATAATTTTATCCGAAGGGAATATTGGGTATGTATAGGGGCACCTGCCTGGCTCAGTCGGTAGAGCCTGAGACTCTTAATCCCACAATAATAACGGACGGGACAAAGAAAAATGGAGCAAAGGTCGTTCACCAACTGTCTCTTCAAGGAAGGGTCTAACGGCTGACTTACTTCTGTTTACATTCTGCCAGCGTGTTTATCTAAGGGAATTGTTCATCTATCAGAGAAGAAAGGAACTGCGAATGTTATTAGTTGGACTCGAGACTTGAGTTGATGAGGGTTGAATTTTGGGCAAAGAACAACTCGGATAGTTGGTCTGAAAGAGTCATTTTTCCATCTGTTTGAAGGTTCCCAGGGTCCAATTGTATATGTCCCTGTCTGGAGGGGAGGTGATCCTACCGGGATGCCTTGCTCCTATACACAATTCATACATTTTTTGGTGCCTAATCTGTTTTGTAAAGTTGCTATCTTCCAAACCTCTCACTCGTGTGTTCCAACCCCCAAGGCTGGTATCGCCGCCTTTGGCTCAGCCAAACAGAGGCTACTTCTGTCAACCAGTTCCTTGCCCATGGCCGAAGCTCATTTACTTATTGTTTATTTAAATAAATTGTTCTTTGATTTGGATTGTACCCAGTCCCACATGAGAAATAGAAGAGCGAGACACAGGTCTCTTCTCATATTTTGACATTAGGTCAGGGAGACACACAAAGCAATAGAAAATAATAGAAATGCTGTATCTAATCAGATGCTAAGAGGGGTGGTCCAGGCCACAGTTGATAGAAAAGTTCAGTACGGGGGCGCCTGGGTGGCTCAGATGGTTAGGCGTCTGCCTTCGGCTCAGGTCATGATCCCAGGGTTCTGGGATCGAGTCCCACATCAGGCTCCCTGCTAGGCGGGGAGCCTGCTTCTCCCTCTGCCTCTGCCTCTCTCTCTCTCTCTCTCTGACTTTCATGAATAAATAAATAAAACATTTAAAAAAAAAAGAAAAGAAAAGTTCAGTACGATTCCTAAATGTAAGGAAGGTTGATAGTAAAGAATTTGGCTTTGCCCAAAGAGAGATCTGGCTTTTGCCCTTGGCTTCTGCGAAGTAATCTGTGTCAAACCTAAGAGCAGTATCTTTGGGGTTTTCGGGCCAGGGCTTTGGGCCATACAGGGTCAGCCCACCTGGAGGCTGAGGTCAACCACATGGACAGTCAATCAATCATGCCTAAGCAATGGAGCCTCAATAAAAACTCTGCACACCAAAGCTGCAGTGAGATTCCCCAGTTGGTTGGCAGTACTCCCTGCATGTTGTCACACATCACTGCTGGCAGAATAACACGTCCTGACTCCCCAGGGAGAGGACAATAGACCGTTCACATTCAGAACCCTCTCAGACTCTGCCCTATGCTTCTCTTCCTTTGGCTGATTTAATCTGTATCCTTTCCCTGTAAAAAACTATAACTGTAGGGACGCCTGGGTGTCTCAGTTGGTTAAGCATCTGCCTTTGGCTCAGGTCATGATCCCAAGGTCCTGGGATCAAGCCCTGTGTCGAGCCCCCTGCTCAGCGGGAGCCTGCTTCTCCCTCTGCCCCTCACCCTGCTCGTGCTCTCTCTCTCTCTCTCTCTCTCATTCTCTGTCAAATAAATAAATAAAATCTTTTAAAAAGAGAGAGAGAGAGAGGTGGGTATCTATTTTTAAGACTATGAATAGGGGCGCCTGGCTGGCTCAGTCAGTGGAGCGTGCAACTCTTGATCTCGGGGTCATGGGTTTGAGCCCCACTTTGGGGGTCAGAGATTACATTTTAAAAATTCAATAAATAAATAAACAAATAAAAAGACTATCAATAATATCCTCAAATTGAGGTCAAATTGAGGCTTTGGCCGCATATTAGGTGCTGCCATAGATCAATGCACAAAGAAGAGACGTAAGAGGTCTAGATAGGTCTAAGGCGTGGCCAAGTGGAGACACAGATAAGGTGCAGATCTCTGCTCCTGAGACCAGCCCCACTGTGCTGCAGCCCCGTTGGAGGGAGGATGTTGCTGGCTCCCTAGGCCTAGAACATCTTGACTCTGCAGTCAGAAAGCCCGGGTTCAAATCCACCTCCAATAGCCTTGCAAGCAGGCTACCTAACATCGTCTGTAGAGGCTCCTTCACCAAATGTTCATGAGGTTAAATGAAGCAACACAGCTTTGTACTTTTTATTAAATCGCTATTGCTATTATTCTTGTAAAGATACATATCATCCTGCGGTGTGTCCACATTTGTCCCTAACCCATACGTCTCCCCAGCTTCAGATCAAAGCCTTGTCTCTTTGGTGTCGGTCTCCTCCCCTCAGGAGCGAGCACAAAGCCCCAAAAGTGTGTTGTGTGGAGGTGTGCACTGGTTTCTAGTTGTGTCACGGTTCTAAGTCTTACCTCTTTAACTGAAATCTGGACCTTAAGGGTGCCCCCCACCCCATACAATTCCTATCATGGGTCTGACACACACCTACCAGAGCTTAGGGAGAAGTTCACACCTGATTAGAAAAGGTGTTTCTTCCTTCCAGGGACTTCCCAGATGACCCAGATGTGCAGTGGGACACAGAGCGTGTGGCTAGCATCCTTCTCCAGCACATAGATGCGAATGGCATCAACCTGGTAAGCAGACACCCTCCCTGAATGCAAAGCTGGGGATCCTGGTCACACCTTTACCTGTGGCTGCCCTCCCCTAGACTCTCTTTTAAACCTACAGAGGGGGGTGCCTGGGTGGCTCAGTCGGTTAAGCGTCTGCCTTCAGCTCAGGTCATGATCCCAGAGTCCTGGGATCAAGTCCCACGTTGGGCTCCCTACTAGGCAGGGAGCCTGCTTCTCCCTCTCCTTCTGCCCCTCCACCCAACTCATGCTCTCTGTCACTCACTCACTCTCAAATAAATAAATAAAATCTTTTAAAAAATAAAAATAAAAAAGGGACACCTGGGTGGTTCAACCGGTTAAGCATCCACCTTTGGCTCAGGTCATGATCCCAGGGTCCTGGGTTTGAGTCCCACATTGGGCTCCTTGCTCAATGGGGAGCCTGCTTCTCCCCCTCCCTCTGCTGCTTCCCTTGCTTGTGTGCACTCTCTCTCTCCCTCTCTGATAGATAGATACATACATAGGTAGATAGAGAGAGAGAGAGAGAGAGAGAGAGAGATAGAAGATAGATAAAATTTAAAAATAAACCCACAGAGGACCAAACACACCTTTTGTGAGACTGTGTAACCAAACTGTCAGGCTCAGGTGGAGGCAGGGTTTTTTTCCCAAACTGTCCTCTTTAACCATCCCCAACCCCAGCCTCTGTCCTGCCATCTAAAAACTCAGGGCCCCAGGAGCCCGAACTATACTCCTATTTATACAGAACTTCACCTTTTACCAAGCATTTTCATATTTAGGGGACCATTTCAAATTTAAGAGGCAGATGTTACTATAATTTTCATTTGACATTGAGGAAACTCGGGTTTCCAGAAGCTGAGAAGCTTGCCCGAGGTCAGCAAGGGGTGAAGCTAGGATTTTAAGCCTCAATTTCTCACTCCAGAAAACACAAGGATATATTCACATGCACTGCTGGGAGAACATTTTAGTCACAGATAGAGCAATGGCGGAGATTCATATTTACTTGCAGAGGTGAGCCAGGGTGGGAGCCCCCATCTCAGCTCTACTGGGACCCTCTGGACCGGGCCTTGCCAGTGGTCAATATTAAGGCAGCTGAGAAGGCTTACTGTCCACCTCTAAAATGATAATAATACTCCTTCATGGGTTAATGCCTAAAATTCTACCACTTAAAGCCCTAAGCTTTTGGTTTATGTTTTGATGAATTCTGCTGGCACAGAAACAGTGCTAAATTCACTGAGTGAAATGATTTATTAGACCTTTTTTTTTAAAGATTTTATTTTTTTTTTTTTTAAGTAATCTCTACAGCCAATGTGGAGCTTGAAATTACATCTCTGAGATCAAGAGTCACATGCTTACCGACTGAGCCAGCCCGGTTGCCCCTATTAGACCTTTCCTAACAGCAGATTTTCGGTGACATATTGGTCAGACTGTTCCTGGATTTTTTCTTTTTTTTTTTTTGGCGTATTTCATGTAGCTGTTTCCTTCCTTCCTTCCTTCCTTTCTTTTCTTTTCTTTTTTTGGTGTTCACATATTTTTATTTATTTATTTATTTTTAAAGATTTTATTTATTTCACAGAGAGAGACAGCGGGAGAGGGAACACAAGCAGAGAGAGTGGGAGAGGGAGAGGGAGAACCAGGCTCCCTGCTGAGCGGGGAGCCAGATGAGGGGGCTCAAGCCCCCAGGACCTTGGGATCGTGACCTGAGCCGAAGGCAGAAACACAACTGAAACTTAGCCCACACAGGCCAAAAGGGACACCTAAGGGTCTCCCTCGGATTCACATAAAGGTGGAGATGCAGGTGGGCCCCGCTCCTGGTGGGGCTGTTCTCCATCTTGCTCTGGGCTCTGGCTTCATTCTTTTTCCTGACTGGAAAAAATGGCCACCAACAGCTTGCAGCCTCATACCTCCTGGCTTTACCTTCCAAGAGGATCTGAGTGTGAAAGCCAGAGGGAAGGGTCCATGGGCTTTGGAGTCAAAGGCCCAGCCCTGCTGACTGGGTTTGCCTGCTTCTCTTGTCCATCCCACCCCAGCCCACACAGGCAGAACTCATCAGGGCTCCACAGCCCAGATGGGGAGACAGCTGGTCTCGGGGGCTGGGCTGAAATAACACAGTAATGTCCATGAAGTGTGCTGTCACACCCCTGGGGACCCCGTTTTCCCGTAGGAGTAGCTTCCCCAGGACCGGCCCTCAGATACTCTCTCTCCTCCCCTACTTCAGTGCATACAACTGCTGGTTATCCCAGTCACTTCACTTGTGAGATAAACTCCTGTCTTTCTGAACTTGGCCCCTTTCAGTCTGGCCCTTAAGTACGGCACACTGGTGAACAGGATTGGTCCTTGCCAAGGGGCCAGGTTTCAATATTTTAGACCATGTTACAGCTGACCACAGCTCTGAGCATCCAGAGAGGGGTCTCAGGGCACAGACAGCTCTGCGTGCCATTCTTGCTCTCAGAAGAGTCTCCCAAGTTTCTGCCTCAGAAAAGCGATTTGTGATCCAAGCCCCATCTCAAGACCTCCTTCTCCAAGAAGCCTTCTGTGATTTCTTCAGCCCTCTTTGGGAATCCTACAGAATTTGGTGTGTATCCCAAGAGTTGCTGCTTATTCTTTGAAGTACAGACCATGTCTTATGAACTAGACTGGAGGGTCCATGAAGGCAAGGACTGCCATGACATTTTTATATCCCCAAGAATGAGAACAGGCCCCAGACCATGCTTGTCCCCAGACTGCCCAGACGGTTAGCTGCCACCTGGCTGCCTGGAGCTCTTTCCTCTTGTCTGAGGCGCTCACGTTCATTCCAATTAGTGAGGGCCCTTTATCATCAGGATGATCCTGAATTGATTTAATTTCCCATACACAAGGAAACCATTTTATTTTTTTTTTTTTAATTTTTTTAAAAGATTTTATTTATTTATTTGAGAGAGAGAGAGCACATGAGGGGGGGGAGGGTCAGAGGGAGAAGCAGACTCCCCGCCGAGCAGGGGGCCCGACGCGGGACTCGATCCCGGGACTCCAGGATCATGACCTGAGCCGAAGGCAGTCGCTTAACTAACTGAGCCACCCAGGCGCCCAAGGAAACCATTTTAAAACAGCTCTTTAACTCACCTTGCTCTTAATAAGGAAACTCTCAAGCTATCACGGTGCAGTGAGGAATAATTTCCCCAGCCTGCACTTAATGCAACAGTCGGAGTATAAGGGCCACACCAACACCATTGCCAATATGGACGTAAGTGGCCATAATCATGCTCGGCCCCCACGATGCAGTGAAATGCCCTTTTGCATAATCCCACAGGCTCTGCCGGGTCAGGGGCGAGGGCTGAGTAGTAGGCAGGGAAGAAGTCACCCGGTGGCAGGATCTGAGGGCCCAGGTGCCCCCTCCAGACCGGAAGTATTGGCTGCGCAATGAGAGAAGACCAATAGGGAAGCAGAGACGGAAGGGAGGAGCACCAAGCTAAGACATGGGGAGAGAGATTCTCACCTGGGCTGTGCTGGGATGATACCAAAAGCTCTCCTCTGCCCCAGCTGAAATCTGGCTCTGTAGTCGTTAGCACCGTGCGATGGAAGGAAACAGAATGCTCTCTGGTCCCAGCCCCTCCATGTTTGCTGAGTTGCCAGGACATGGCTTTGAAAAGCATTATGATGCTGCCCTCTACAGAAAGCAGCCTAGGGGTTTGGTTGTGCCTTTCGGTGGCAAGCAGTCTGGGTCCAGGGCCTGACCCCTATCTCGACTTTTCATTCAGCAAATATTTATTGAGCACCTGCTATGTGATATTCACTACTTGCTGTGAACTGGTGATATAGCCCTGAACCAAACACAGAGTCCTTGCTCCCTTAGGGCACCATGACATTAGGGCCCCCATCATTGTTTGCTGTGGGGGACGGTCCTGTGCCTTGTACGATGCTTAGCAGCATCCAGGGCATCTCCCCACTGACAGCCCCCCTCTCTACCCAGTGGCAACACCCCTCAGTCATCCCAACAAATCTATCTCCAGACATGGCCAGATGTCCCTGGGGCAACATTGCCTCCAGTTGAGAACCACCATCTTAGAAAAACCAGAGCAGCCCCACCCATTACCTCCTGGGGTCTGGGTAAGATTTCATTTGAACAAGGATTTCCACGACTTTGGGGCATGGCGGAGCGGGGGGCGGGGGGGAGGTGGCGGGAGTTCTGTAAAGAGCTACAGGGGTCACTGTTGTCACGTACAAATCTGCAAAAGTCCGGGGAGCTGGATACAATTCCGCTCAGCCCTCCTTGCGACGGAAAGAAAGAGGGAGCCTCTAGGAAGATGCAGGATGAGGAAGAAATGGAGACCTAGGAGAATTTCAAAAGCAATTGAACAAAACTCCACCGGGCCCCAAATCCCCCCTAACCTAGGAAATGCTCTCCAGCACACCCGGGGTAATGATTAGCCCTGCTGTCACGCTCTCCTAATGAGAGCAGGCTTGGAGTTGAGATGCACTAGCCCTTCCTGTTGTAGGTACACATTCATAAGCATTTCCCCATGGCGTTCTTGTGTCTTCACCTCAACCCGGTGAGGAAAGCAGAGCAGGTATTACTTTGCTGATCTCGCAAATGAGACGACCCACACATTGAACCTTGAAATAACTTCTAGCGGTCAAGTTCTGTGACTTGCCCAACGGCTGGGGTTAAGTAGGGTCTGAGATAAGAGTAGACTTGAGTCAACACTGTGTTGCATGGAACATTGGGATCAGAACAGGGTACTTGAGTGCACGGTTTTTACGTTTTGGTTTTGTTTTGTTTTGTTTTTTTAAGTAGGCTCCATGCCCAACGTGGGGCTTGAACTCACGACCCTGAAATTAAGTCACATGCTCTACCGACTGAGCCAGCCAGGAGCCCCATGGTTTACGTTTTTTGGTAGACTATATTCTTTTTTTTTTTTTTAAAGATTTTTATTTATTTATTTGACAGAGAGAGACATAGCGAGAGAGGGAACACAAGCAGGGGGAGTGGAAGAGGGAGGAGCAGGCTTCCCGCTGAGCAGGGAGCCCGACGCGGGGCTCGATCCCAGGACCCCGGGATCATGACCTGAGCCGAAGGCAGACGCTTAACGACTGAGCCACCCAGGCACCCCGGTAGACTGTATTCTTTAGAGCAGTTTTAGGTTCATAGCAAAGTTGAGCGGAAAGTACACAGAAACTCCCTGTCCCCCATAATTTTTTACAGTCGATAAACCAACACTGACACATCACCACCCCCGAGTCCATACTTTACATGAGGGTCCACTTTTGGTGCTGTTCATTCTATGGGCTTTGACAAATGTATAATGACGCATGTCCGTGATTTGCTTTTTTTAAGCCTTTAACTCTTTTTGTTTGTTTTGTTAATTTTCCATTAGGGAGAATTTCAAGCCTGCAACTGTAGAGAGAAGTTTAATGAACTTCCATATTCTTATCACTCGGCTCCTGTAATTATTAACTCACAGTCAATATTAGTTTCATTTAAACAGCTGTTCATCTCCCCCACCTCCTGTATTATTTCGAAGCAAATCTTTGGCATCATATTTCATATTTAAATATTCTAGCATGCATTTCTAGTTGACAACAAGTCCTTTATTAACATAACTATAATGCCATTGTCACACCAAAACATTCACAATTCCTTAATATCGGTGTTTTATATTTCCATTAGTCTCGTGTCATAAATATGTTTTTATTTTGTGCTTATTTTTAGGTGCTTATCCATTGACAGGACTTTAAATTTTCTTCTAATCTACAGCCCCCACCCCCCCACCCTGTGCCCAATAGAGGTTTGCTGCTCTCACTGTAAGAGAGAGTTCTCTATATGTGAAGTCAGCATTTTATGATTTAAAATAGAAAGACCAATAGGGAAGCCCTTCTCAGCCTATACCAATCCCAGTCCTGGTCCCTTTAGTCCATGCGGCACGGCCGCCCACTTTCCTTGGGGACAGCTTGCCTCTTTCCATTACCCCTAACCAACCACTCCTGTTCCTTTTTCTGAGTCCCTGTTCTCTTTGTTATACTTCTTTTATTATTTAAGCTAACAGGATTATTATTCAAACTTATTTGGTCTTTTTCTTAATCCATCTGTGCAGAAATGAAATGTTGGAACCTAGACTAAGCTTATCATTAATAAGTAGATGATACAGAGGCAGTCCGTGAGTAAATAGACTTCTGTGATTTTAACCCCAGGGCATGGTGGACATTGCCTCTCAAAGTCTTTGTGCCCTCAGTACAGCACAAGGAAAAGAGGTCAAATAAATCAGGCAGCATCTACAAGAACAGAGTTCACACCACAGCCAGCCAGGAAAATGAAGTGTGCTAATAAATGGCCAGGCAGATAAGAAACAAAGATACCCTAAACCCAGGTTTCTATCATGGCAGAATTCCATTGTGCTTCACGGGGCCCCGAACAAGAGTAAACAGTAAAACCCACACAGTCTCCACACACCTGGCCAACTCAATGGTTATATCCCACTGATACACTCCGAAGTGAGTTCAGATGTACACAGAATTGGAGACATTTCTGGCCAGGGGAACGGGGACGGCTACTTTGAAATTGAGGCAGAGAAAGCATTCAGTCATGAGTGACCACCCTGTTTCTCTTCAGGTGGTGACTTTCGATGCAGGGGGAGTCAGTGGTCACTGCAATCACGTTGCTCTGTATGCGGCCGTGAGGTAGGACCCTCTGCGTGTTGGAGGGGGGAGAGGGTCTGTTCGTTTGCTCAGGGTGGGTGGTTTCTAAAGCACTTCCCCCCTCACTGTCTGAGCCTCGTGGAACTGACCACTGAGGTACAGGGAGCCAGTGTTGGCCACATTGCTCACTACATCTCACCAGGCCCTCCGTGTGAGAAATCCCTCCTCAGTCGTCTTAATATTACTGTTTTGTCTCCTCAACTCCTGAGGGCTTCTTCCACATGGAAAAATGGGGTAACATTTTATTTCTCTTTGCTTTGGCCACAGAGAGCTTTCGGGCCAAATTCGCAACCCCATGTAGCACATGTGGGAGATTTGAAGGACTGAGTTCTGGTGAATCAGTGTGCCTCTTGGCTTCATCTTCCTTTTCCTCCTTTTTAAAGAAGATTTTATTTATGTATTTGTCAGAGAGAGAAAGAGAGAGAGAGAGCACAAGCAGGGGGAACGGCAGGCAGGAGAAGCAGGCTCCCCGCTGAGCATGGAGCCCAACACAGGACTTGACCCGAGGACCCTGGGATCATGACCTAAGCCGAAGGCAGACACTTAACCAACTGAGCCACCCAGGCATCCCTTTCCTCCTTTTATTCTAATTTCTTATGTTATCTTCCATTGTACATTTTGTACACTATATCAAATCTTTCTTTGGAGAAGGAAGATATACATATGTAATAGGATAACTTTTGTTCTTCATAGCCACCCTATTTTACCGATAGGCATCTGTATTTTTTGGTAAAAAACACAAAAAAATGCTCCTCAAATATATTGAGGGACTTACTCAGGATCGTACAAATATATACCATGCTTCCTGCCCTCTAGAGAAGTACTTCTTCTGGGTGCCATGAATGAAGGAGTGGTGGACCTGGCCTAGGGGAAGGGAAGGGGCAACCTGAAGTAAAGGACTTGCTTTCTGACTTTCTTCTAAACATGCCCAACATTCTCAGACTAGAGCAGTGAAATATATAAAGTTGGAAATGATCTCACCTATCATTAAGTCCAACCACCTCATTTAACTGAGGAAGTGAAGTGGTTTTCCCAGTACTGCTGGGCTGAACAATGGCGGAAGTAGAACTGGAATCCATTTCATATGAGTATGTTGTCTGTGTGTTGGTGGTGGGGTTGGACCACTTATCCCATCTTTCCCCATCTCTGCGCTTCCAAACAAAAACAGGCAAGAGATTTGGAGTTCTTTGTTGGATTGGCCTCACCTTCCTTTAAGGCAGGGAGTACAGAATGGCCTTCACTGTGAGAAGGTGGGAGCAGGGGAGGTCAAAAAGAAAGAACTATCAGGGAAGAAATATCAATTAATATTTTAAAATAGTCTCCTAGGGGTGCCTGGGTGGCTCAGTCGTTAAGTGTCTGCCTTCAGCTCAGGTCATAATCCCAGAGTCCTGGGATCGGGCCCCACGTCAGGCTCCCGGCTCCTCGGGAAGCCTGCCTCTCCCTCTCCCACTCCCCCTGCTTGTGTTCCCTGTCTCGCTGTGTCTCTCTCTGTCAAATAAATAAATAAAATCTTTAAAAAAATAATAATAATAAAAATAAAATAAATTAAAAAAAAATAAAATAGTTTCCTGTCACACTCATATTACAATTTCAAAAGAGAGAAACTCTGAAGAGTCCATCATAGTTACCTTCATCTCTAATGGGCAAAGCTTGGACCAGGCACTTCATAACTATTGGTCATCCCCCAGATTGGCTGACCTTGGGGAAGGTGCCCACACTTGTCCCTTCAGCTGTAGCCAGAGGTATGGAATCCCAGAAACCTATATGGTGATTGATGCAAAAGAAACTACCTAGAAACCTACAGAGGGATCATAGGGTGTGGCAGTCCTTACTACTGTTGGGGAGGAAGAAATTTTCCTCTGTCCAAGGTTCTTCTAGCTAGACTAAGAATTAAATTTCCAGGAGAGATTAACAGCAGAAAATCAAATTTAATTTTGTCCTACAAAATCCATACAAACATGAGCCCATACAAACATGAAATTCCAACGACTGTCAGGCAACATGAGGCTTATATGGCATCCTGAGCTCAGGAGAGGGACGGGAGTCTGGCGTACAAGGAGAGGAGTACCATTAGCAGGAAGGTGAGAGATGTTTGGAAAACAAAGGTGGCCCTGTTGTGCAGATAAGTTTCTTAGGTAAAAAGGAATCTCTATGACTAGTTCTCTTCCTGGTACAGGCCCCCTTTCCAATGTAAGTTTAGGTGGCCAGGGGCGGGGGATGTAAAGTAGTTTTCCTGAATTTGCTGGGTTTTGATTGCTTTTAACTCAAGGTAATCTACATGCCATTGTGGCCCATCTTGGAGAGGCCTGCCCTTGACCCCTATACTCTGAAGGCTCTTCCTGTTATCTGCAAAGGAATTCTTGCTCCCTCTCAATCCTGTCCTTTCCTCCTCCAGGACCCTGCACTCAGAAGGGAAATTACCTAAAGGTAAGTTGTCTGTTTTGCAAAAGTCTGCAAATTACTATCCCTCTAAGAAACTTATTGGGTGAAATTTGTAAATATATGGAGAACTGCCCTAGGTCAAGCCTCCCTAGGTGGGGGGCTGGGAAGGCTGGGCCACACTCTTCCTGACCCAGCTCACTGTGTCTGTCCTTGTGGGTCCTCAGGCCTAATACCAGGTTGTATCCATTGGGAAGTGCCCTGTCAGCCAGGCAGCCTCTGGGTGTGAGGGGAGGCCAGATGTGTTAGGAACACAGAACCAATAGGAGATACATATTTAAAAGAGACTTATAAACTTGGCTCACACAAGTACAGAAGATGAGAAGTCCCACAATCTGCCATCTGCAAAGTAGGGACCCAGGAAAGCTAGTGGTGTAAGTCAGTCTGGGTCCAAAGGCCTGAGAAGCAGGAGAGCCAGTGGTGTAAATCCCAGTCCAAGGACAGGAGATGACCAGCGTCTCAGCTCAAGAGTCAAGCAGAAAAGAACAAATTCTCCCTTCTTCCACCTAGTCTTCTATTCAGGCCCTCAATTGATTGGACCATGCCCACCCATACTGGGGAGGGCAATCTACTTTCCTGAGTTCACTGATTTAAATGCTAGTCTCATCCAAAAATACCCTCCCAGGCACACCCAGAAATAATCATCTGGGTACCCTGTGACACAGTCAAGTTGACACATGAAATTAACCATGACACCAGGCCTTGCCCACTCATCTGTCTGGCTTTCTCCCTAGGTGAGTCTTTTTCACCTCCAGTGTTCTTTCAGTCTGTCCATATAAACTCACGCCCCAGCCCCTCATTACTTAACCAGGCTATAAACAGCTGATGGGTGCTTGATGGGTTAACCTGCTTGAGTTAGAAAGGTGTTTGCCGCCCCCCCCCCCCCCCCCCCCGCCTTGGCCATTTACTGCATGACACTGATGCTTAACCTCTCTAGGCCAGTTTCTGGTCTGTCAATGGGAATAACAGACATCCCTCCGGAGTGATATGAAGGTGAAGCAAATGAAAACACAGTGGAGTGTACTCTTCCTGAGTGGGCTGGTACCAACCCTGTGAGACAGGCTCCCACACCATCAACACCACTTTGCAGATGAGAAAACGGAGTCTCAGAGAGCTGAAGTCTGTCAGGTCTCGAGCGTCAGAGCAGGAACTAGGTCTCTTGCCTCCCAATCCAGAAATTTCTGGTCTTAATCACCTTTCCCTTGCCCTTGAAGTAGCCAGTTTCCAACCTCTAGCAACCAACCTTGTCTTGCTAGGGCTTGCATAGAGGGCAGCCGGCCAGGTGTTCTGGGGTCCTTTCACTCTTCCTATCTGTGAGCATGATGGGCAAAGAGCACCTTTGGTGCTACTGAGTCATCTGGCAACTCCGTGGCTATGGTCTTGCCCTGCCCTGAGCCCCGAGGGAGGGGTAGGGTGCTCAGGGAAAATCTGCCTGGAAGCAACAAGACTCTTCACTCCTCCCATCTCCGCTCCTCCCAACCAGGGTGTTCTGTGCTCACGCTTCAGTCAGTGAATGTGTTGCGCAAGTACATCTCCCTTCTGGACCTGCCCTTTTCTCTGCTTCATACCCGGGATGTCCTCTTCGTGCTCACCAGCAAAGAAGTGGCACGGGCCAAGGTGAGTGAGGACTGTGAAATCCCAGACACCTTCCCTCCCATCTGTGTCCCTGGTTCCTCCCGACCCCTAAGCGAAGACCTTCCACAGTGGCTCAGCATCTGAGTGTTAGGACTATCCAGCTAGACCTTGGCAGTCATAGATTATCAAGGACTTTCTCCCTTTTTTCTGATCATAAACATAACACGTGCTTTTTTAAATGTAAAAATATATGCTCATTGTAGAACATCTAGAAATACTTTATGTAAAAGCATCAAGAAGAAAATAAAGATAATCAATAAAAACTACCCCAAATGCCACCACTCAGAGATAATCATGGTTAATATATATATATTTTTAATGGGATCCCACAGTGCCTACCATTTAAAACCTGTTCTGACAACATTATGACCATTTTCTTCTATGTCATTATGCATTAGAATTGTAATTGGTGCCTGCATTCCCCTGCATGGATGTACATAGAGGAACTCAGACCTGCCAGGAACCTCTATAAAGAGCCAAAAAGACCACCAGAGGCTCATTTGCCTATTGAAGAAATGTCAGGCCCAGTGAAGCCCTCATAGTGAAAACTCTTAGCTGTCAGTAGGGCAGGAGATTCCGAAAACTATGGAGTTAGGGAGCAGGCAATTAAGGAGAATTGCTCCAATCTGTCTCCAGGTGTGACCCCCAGTTGACTTAAGTCTATCAGGGAGAGAAGAGTAGCAATGAGTAAAACTAAGAGAACTCAGGATAATTATTATTATTATTATTATTATTATTATTATTATTACTATTTTGCTTAGCTTTATTTTCTGAACTGTCTGCAGTAAACATATATACTCACTAAGAGGCACTTTGCTAGATGCTGAGAATGCAACACTGACCAGAAACATGAATTCTCCTTTGTTTTATTTGATAGTTCGTTAATTTCTGTTCTTTATTTTTGTCCTTTTACTTTATTCAGGTTTTACACCATTATTTTTTTTTTAATTTCTTGGACTGACAAGGTCAGCTTTTTTTCCGTTTTCAACCATTTTTAAAGAATACACTTTAATACTATTAATTTCCCTTGAAGTATTCCTTTAGCTGCATCTGATGAGTTCTGATACATACTTCTGTCACTCAGTTAGAAGTAATCTATAGTTTCCATGGTGAGTTCCTCTTTAATACATGAGGCTTTTAAGGGTGTATTTTAGAGTTTACAAATGCGTATGTGTGCATATATAGGGTCAATCCTCATTATCCACAGGTTCCATATTTGCAAATGCGCCTACGTGCTAAAATTTACTTGTAACCCCAAAATTAATACGGTGCCTTTTTTTTTTTTTTAAAGATTTTTTATTTATTTATTTGAAAGAGAGAGAGAATGAGATAGAGAGAGCATGAGAGGGAAGAGGGTCAGGGGGAGAAGCAGACTCCCTGCCGAGCAGGGAGCCCGATGTGGGACTCGATCCCGGGACTCCAGGATCATGACCTGAGCCGAAGGCAGTCGCTTAACCAACTGAGCCACCCAGGCGCCCCTAATACGGTGCTTTTGCAGTCACTCGTGGACATTGTATTTGCAGGGCAGTGAAAAGTTTTAAATTGCCACCAATGCACAGATACAGGTTCCCAACTGCGGTTGAACAAGGTGACCCTCTGCCTTCTTGTTTCAGCTCTCATACTGCAAACAAGTATCCTCTCCACAGTATGGTGCCGCCCAAACCAGAGTCATCTGGCAACTCCATGACCATGGTCCTGGTGCCACATTGTTCTCATTTCTGTGCTTTTTGTTGTGATTTTACTGTTTAAAATGTCCTCTAAGTATGCCATTCAAGTGCTGTCTAGTGATTCTAAGGGCATGAAAGCTGTGATACCGCTTACAGAGAAAGTGTGTGTGTTAGATAAGCTTCAGTCATGCATGAGTTATAGCCCTGGTGGCTGTGAATTCGGTGAATGAATTGATAACATAATATTAAATAAGGTGTCTTTAAACAGAAACACACATAAAACAAGGTTATGTACTGATCGGTTGATGAAAATGTTGTGACCAGAGGCTCTCAGGAACCAAAACCTTTATTTCCCCTAGGAACAATGATGTAGTATTGACTAATTCAGGTGTTTGCAGTACTTTATAGAACGTAGCTACCAGAACAAGAGTCATCCTATAGCCTTTTTATTGTTGATTTAGAATTGAATTGCTTTCTGGTCATTACATGTGGCTTGTGGAATACTGGTTTTTAAAAACTTATTGAGAATTCCTTAGGGAATGACCTACTTTATAATCGGTTTTTGTAAATGTTAACATGTTTATCTAAAAAGAATGTGTGTACTCTATGGGTTGCATTTCAGATTCTAGATATAGCCAGCAGATTGAGCTTAGTACATATTTCAGTCACAACTTGTGTATTCTAACTACTTTTTAAACTTTTTGATCTATTACTTTATGATGCAAGTATGTTGAGGTCTCCTACTGTGAGTCTGCATTTGTCCATTTCTTTGTGTTTGCTTTATTTGTGTTGGGTGCACAAAAGATCAAGGTTGTTATATCTTCTTAGTAGACTATTCCTTTTATTATCCTATGTCTCTCATTATTAATGGTTTTGTCTTAAATTCTATTTTAATCTTAACATTGCTGTAACAGCTTTCTTTGGATTGGATCTGCTTGGCTCATCTTTTTTTTTTATTAAGATTTTATTTATTTATTTGACAGAGAGAGACACAGCGAGAGAGGGAACACAAGCAGGGGGAGTGGGAGAGGGAGAAGCAGGCTTCCCGCTGAGCAGGGAGCCCAACACGGGGCTCGATCCCAGGACCCTGGGATCATGACCTGAGCCGAAGGCAGACGCTGAACGACTGAGCCACCCAGGCACCCCGGCTTATCTTTTTTAAATACCTTTGCTATTTTTTTTTTTTTCTTTAAGTCGGCTCCACAGCCAATATGGGGCTTTTTAATACCTTTATTTTTAACCTTTTGTTGTCATTTTCATTTTTTTATTTTTTTAAAGGATTTTATTTTTATTTGAGAGAGAGAGCACGAGTGGGGGGAGGGACAGAGGGAGAGGGAGGAAACAGACTCCCCATCCCCACTGAGCAGGGAGCCCGATGCGGGACTTGATCCCAGGACACTGAGATCATGACTGAGCCGAAGGCAAACCCTTAACGACTGAGCCACCCAGGCATCCTGATCCTGTGTTCAGAGATTTATGAGCAAGAATGTTCATTAGTATAATTTTTGATAGTCAAAAAAGGAACTAATATTCAGCAGATGAATGATACAGTACTGGATAACCCACAAAATCATATCTTTGAAGAAAATGTAGTGGAAATGCTCCAAAAAGGGGGGAAGGGATAGAAACAATTTTGGTATTTTGTATTCCCTCGGAAAGGTAATAGAAAAACAGTTTGTAAAAAACCAAATTGACGGTAAGTGCCTATTTTATTGAATGGGTGCTGAAAAGCCATTGAAACGTTAGGGGACATAAAAATTAGGCCAGTTGGGGCAGGATGATGTGGGAAACTCATGTGACTTGGTAGCTGTTAAATAGACAAGTCAAGTGTGTCTGGACTACAAAGTGCATCCCTTCTCTCAATGTTTTTCTACAATAAACATTTTGGGGACGCCTGGGTGGCTCGGTGGATTGGGCGTCTGACTTTGGCTTGTATGGTGATCCCCGGGTCCTGGGATCGAGTCCCGCGTCAAGCTGCCTTGCTCAGCATGGAGCCTGCTTCTCCCTCTCCCTCCGCCAATCCCCCTGCTTGTGTGTTCGCTCTCTCTGACAAATAAATGAATAAAATCTTAAAATAAAATGAGTTCTTTACATAAAGGTCTCCAATGATAATAGCTCAGAGACGCAGTTTACTTTTGGTACTTAGAGAAAGTCGGGCAGGAACCATTTATAGATGTTACATCCAGTTACATCAGTCGCTCCGATCGATGGTTTAAAAACTGAACTGCGGAGCGCCTGGGTGGCTCAGTTGGTTAAGCGACTGCCTTCGGCTCAGGTCATGATCCTGGAGTCCCGGGATCGAGTCCCGCATCGGGCTCCCTGCTCGGCGGGGAGCCTGCTTCTCCCTCTGACCCTCCCCCCTCTCATGTGCTCTCTCATTCTCTCTGTCTCAAATAAATAAATAAAATCTTTAAAAAAAAAAAACAAAAACAAAAAACTGAACTGCGCTAGGTCTGGATAACAAGACAGTAAACATCTTGGCAAGGAGAACCCCACACCCATGCGTACTCTTTGGTGTGAACGGGTCTCTAGGTCTTCTTCTTTCTTCTCCTCCTCTTCCTCTTCCTCCCAGCTTACCTAATTCAGAGCGCAGTATCGTAGCTCGTAGCTCGCGTCCCATAAACCGGCCCCGCACGTTTTGCGCTGCCGAGTATTTACAATTACGTGTCGTGCCGGGCATTCCGCCGCAAAGCCATGGAAAAGCGGGGCGCAGATCTGCGCGCCGGAGCGAAGCGAAGGGATCGGGAACGTGCGCTCGGGGCCGTTCGCGCGGCTCCGGCTTCAGGCGCCAGCTGTGCGGTCTAAATCGGCGTCGTGCCCGGAGACTGACCGCGGGTCGGGGTCGGCGTTAGCGTCCCATGATTCTGTCACCGGGCTGGGGGCCGGAGACGGGCCAGGGGAGGCAGGGCTGGGAGGCCCTTCCGCAGAGGTTCTGGCGTCACAGGGAGACGCGGGAGGAGGTGCGGCATCTGTGCTCGCGGGAGGCAGAAGTTCAGGGAGGAAAGAAGCGCAGCGGCTCGGTGACTGGCCCTGTCTGCTTCTCCTAGAGAGCCATGTCCTGCCACCGAAGCCAGCTGCTCTGGTTCCGCCGCCTCTACGTGCTCTGCTCCAGGTACATGAGAATCAACTCCCTGCACTTCCTCTGAAGCCTGCACGAGTCTTCCGGGCCAAGGAATCCCCAGGGAGAAGCCAAGCCCGGGAATCTGGGGCCCGGCCTTGAGCCGGCTGAGCAGCCTGAACCAAAGGAGAGCCCGGTGTGCGCGGGAGGCCTTCCTTCCCGAGCTCTGCGGATCCGCGGCCGTGCGGGCCACTGGG